GAATGCTGATCCTCCTCGGAGCTGACTAAGAAGGGAGATAAGAGATAAGATGAAACAAGGACCTGGCCCGAAGGACGTAGAGAAGACTGGCTGAGTGAAGAGAGAGATGCTTGGAGTGGCCTTTTGGCTGGACTTTTCTTGTGGCCATGGACTCAGTTTGTTCCTGTGACACAGAGACTGCACTTAGGGGGAGGCAGTGCCTCAGAACCAGGAGGGTTCATCGTGGGGACCCCTCGGCCCCAGGGGGTTGGAAAAATATGGGGGGGACAGATGTCCCAAAGCAGAGACTGTGCCTTTTTGGAGTGAGACAAGGCATCCTTAAAAGACAACCCTAAAAGCAGCTCTGGTCCATGCATGGTGGTGAGAGCACTGGGCATGGAAGGAAGATGTCACAAGCGGCAAAAGGACTTTTTTCCGGGCGGTGCCGAGTGACATGGAAGCACACGAGGTTTCAGTGTGTTTCCAGGGGAAGCCTATGGAACAAGAAGGACTCCTCTCCTCTTCATGAACTGAAGTTTGAGTATACTAAAGTGTGGTGCCAGGCTGGGCAGTTGGTGATTTGGGAGAATGTATCGGATTGGGAAATTCAGGTAGTGGGGAAGAGGAAAGTGGTTTTTTTTTAAGGGTTTCAATTTTTTTTTTTCCTTTTCCTTATAGTTTTTCCCTATTTTCCTGTAGTTTAGGTAATAAAGTGTTCTTTATGTTTAAGCTGGAGCGTGTTTTGCTTATTCCTGGTGACATCTCACAGCAGACACCAGGGTGAGGGCATTTTCATGGGGGCACTGGCTCTGTGCCACGCTCAAACCATGACACAAATTTAGTTGCAGGCAAAATTAGGATTCTAGCATTGCCTCTTTTAAATTAAATGCTTTATATTCTGGCTGTTGTGGAATTCCAGTCACTATTTTATCCAGCTGAGGTGACTTCAAGTTGATTCTTCTACCTTTCAAGCATCCCAAAGTTTGTAGTCAGTGAAGATGTTTTTTAAGACCATCATTCATTTCAAAATACATCTTGGCTTTTGGAAAACAGCTGAGCTGGTTCTGCTTAAAGAACAATGAACACATTATGGAAGGCCAGCAGTCTTCAATTATTAAATTAATTATATGCAGAACTGCTTTCAAAACATGTGATTTCATAGTCTGGTCTGCATGTCAGTGCAGAACTCAGTCAGAAATCTGTGCCCTCTTGGAGGCTTATATTAGTCTAACGACTCATAAAAACAAAAAAAGCCATGTCAGCTCAGTGTGGAAGTCTGGTTTCAATTCACAAGAATTGACAAAAGCCACAAGAATAAAGCATCACGCATGAAATAACTTCTAAGGGGTGGAATATATGCTACATTTAGTGAAACATGCAAAATTTGCACCTAAATTTTAAGTTCTTGCAGTAACTTAGGCAGTAAGCCCTAGATGTCTCTGTTTCTTCTCATGTCAGCAGAGAGAAAGCAGGTGCTCCACATTTAGGTGCCTCAGGTCTGCAGGGAAAACTGATGCTTGTTCAGAGGAGACTTTCGCTGGCTTGCCTTGAGCTAGGGGACTGGGTGCCATTCAAGAACTCCTGTAATTGAATTCTGCTTGTTCAAAGCACAGGCTATAAGAAAACTGTGTTGAACTTTTTCAAAATATAGAATCCCCCTGCAAGCTAAATACCAATCCTGATCTGTTTCAGAGAAACTCATACCTACAACAGAACAAAATTCTTTTATTTCTTTTTATGAAGAGATCTATTAAATAAGCAATGAAAAAGTGCCTGGAAATTTCAAGGATGGGATATAATGCCACAATAAACCAAATTTACATTCAATTAAAAAAAATTGCATAAATTTGCTAGATACTGAAACTGTAAATTTGTTGTGCCCCTTATAAGAAATAAACTTTGGCTGAATTTGCTGTTGCAAACCACTAAGGGGCCTGAGATGGTTACAGAGACAACCACTGTGACAATGACATGCAGGACAGAGAGGTTCCTATTCAAGTGAGGAAAGAAAAGGTGAGACCTCTTCCTGCAGCAGAGCTCACTGGTGAGTTCAGCAGCTACATGCACAGCCTTCCTACAACCTGCCCATGCTCTCAGCAACGCCCCTGAGCACTTCCGAAGCAGCAGTAAAATCAGTTTGCAGATTTGTCAAGATGTCAAATGCTGAACAAGCCACACAGGGCATTTACCTCAGAAATGCCAAATGTATTTTAGAGCAAAAAAATCTGAAGACAAGATTCTCACTGCCCTGAATGCCTTGATGTAAGAGCTCATGGGGCCCATTGTTTATGCTACTCTGGCTGGCATTCAGCCATGTGAATAAAAGAAAAGTGCTGAACTGATATTCTGTCTAAGGCTGAAGCATCATTAATTGCTTCAGAGCCATGTCAGGTCTTAGCAGATGGCAGAGAAGAGACTGAATTTCTGACATTTTTAATTAAAATGTAACCCCTATTATTATGGGATTAATAGTTATATAAATATAGCTGTACAATTTTAATGGGCATTTGGTAAGAGCAAAATTCTGTATTTTTTGTAGACTTAATTTAGAAGGCTTAAAACCAGGTGAATGCATGTTTGTAGCTCTTGTGATTTCATTGCTAACCTTACAAGCATTTTTCTGAAGGTTGCTCCTACAGTCAAGAGAACATAGTGAAAACTTCAGCCCCACTTTTTTTCCCCTATAGATCCATATTTATTGCAAACCTTTCAAAGGAAAATGTTTAAATCCCTCAAATTAGAAAGCAAGGTTCCCAAAAGCAGAGATATGTAGTAATACATGTAAATGCCACACTTGGGGTGACAGGGGCCAATGACACTTTTTGACAGAGGGAAGCCTCTTTTCACTGTGGCCAAGACAGTTTTGACCAGCAGTGACAGAGGCATGTGCTCAGCTGCCTTGTCTGCAAACTGGCTCTATGCCCTGAAGCAGAACTACTCCCCAAGCCTGTTCCCACCATGGGCTTCATTACACCCCATGTACATGTTTTCCCATCTGCTGCAAAGGATCCAACCAAGCTTCCTGTGGGCTGGATTTCAATAATCATAACTTGTCACTGGGAACATCAGGCCCTTCTTGTCCTCTACCACTTGTGTGTAAATGAAAAAATTGTTTGAGAAATGAGGGGGATCTTGCATACCAGCTGTTCCTGTTGAACAGGGGAGAATAATCAAGGCACTTTTTGTTTCATGGTATAACTTTTGTAGTTTACTAGCCCAGAATGAGTCTTCAATGTAACTCTAATAAAAAAGGGTGTATGTTGTGTTTCTCTTGACTAGCACAGGACCAGAAAAGCCACTATCATGTCTCTGTAAAGTCCAAATGTGTCACTCTCAGTGTCAAAATCCTGGGTGTCATTTACTTGACAAGTTTGAGACCCTCCCTCATGTGCAGTGCTTATGCTGCTTCACAGATGTCCCAGTACATCTTGACACCCTGCTGCTTTGTGTGGGAGCCATATCCTCACCTTCACCCTCCTGCTGGGGGCTGAAAGGGGGAGAGGACCTTTCACCACAGAAACCCTTCCTGGAATAGGCATGTGGAAGAAAACAGGTGCTATTACAGTAGGACTGAGATTTCTCTCTGCTCCTACATGTGGATGGGCAGTGGAGGGAGGTGAGCAGCTGAGGCAGGAGCAGAGAGTAGTGCTCCACTGTGGCAGTGTCCTCTCAGTACAGTTTTGGCTGGCCCTGCATTGCTCATGGTGTGCATTCAGGCACTCTGACTCCCCCAGAGTCCTTGCAAACCTGTGCTGCAGAGGCCTGAGGCTCGTATCTTGTTTCACGGTGGGGCACAGCTATCAGGAGTGACCTCGTGGTCTGATGCACCACACTGGCCTCACAAGGGACATCCATCAGCACTACAGATGGATATAAACAGCCATTTCTGCCCAAAGCAGCTCTACAGTTTGCTGCTTATTCCTCTCCCAGACATCTACATGCATACCAGCATAGGCAGTGGCTGTTACATGATTTGCCTCCTGCTCTGGGCCACCACAGGCTTGGCAAGTGATCCATGCTTGTCCCTGTATGGGGATGTGGATGTGAGGGGACATCCTGTCCAGGGAGAGGAAAAGGGCAAGGATGGTTTTTCTCAGCAGTGTGGGATGTGTGGGAAGACCCTGTCATGCTGAGGTTATTTTGGACTATGAGACTATGAGATACAGACTGTGAGGAACTGGTCTATAAACCACATGTGGGTGCTAATCTGTACACACACTGTGTAGATGACTGGGCAGGAAGGCCAAGGCAGAAGAGCTTTGGGACTCTGACTATTCTCCCTTCTCTTCTACACCTTAAAACTGCAAATTGCCAGTTGAATTTCCTTATCCACAGAAACAGCAGGCAATTGCAAAGGGTTTCATTGCACTCCTGGTGAGTTTGGCTCCTGTTTCTGCCAGGGCCCTGGAAGCAGCCTCTTGGAAGCTCCTTTTGGGACCTGTGGGAGTGTCTGGGAGGATGCTCTTCCGCCTCCTCCTTTAAGGAGGGGAAGGATGGAGAGGGTTGCTGCACTCTCAGTATGTGTGATGGTTTAAAAACTCCTTGGGTTTTTCTGAACAGCAGCTACTTGCGGTGTACAACACTTGTCAAAGTGCAGCACATTTGCTCATCCTCCAGTGATCTGTACAGAAATAATTATCCAGAAATCTTTTTTTATCCCCAGTGTGTGAATTTCATACTGACTTTGCTACCCTGCAGAGTAACAGATATGTTCAGGGTAATGGGATCACTCAAAATTATTAACTTCTACAACAGAAACTGCTGTAACAGTCGCATTGCTTCTAACAGATTGTAGGAGTACTTTTTGTTTTTTAAATTGTTGCAGTAATGTGAATCCAATTTAGCCTTATCCTCTGGCTTCTCACGCTTGCCCAGTGATTAACGCAAGGTGCCCAGCACTGTCACAGCAGGATGACAGCACCATGTGACTGCTTCATGTGAGGGTGAGCCATTTTGGAGGAGGTGACCCAAGGGCCTGCCACATGCTAAGGATGCCCAAACTCCCCTGAACACCACCTTACCTGGGCTGGGGCACTGGAGGAGAGGTGGGTGAGGTCCCCGATCCTGGCAGCTGCCCGTGGGTCACTGGAGCTGATGAGGACGGGGGCGCTGATCTCCATGGAATGCCGATTGCTGGCGGCCTGGGAGGACTTGTGTGTCATGCTGAGGGCAGTGAAGGAGTGGCGCTTCTTGGCGTTCTTCTTGCCTTCCACCTGCCTCTGGGCTGCTCCAGCCGCCCCGGCAGCGGCCAGCGTGGAGCACGGGGCCAGGCCCACCGCCGCCGCCGCCGCCACTGCCACCGTCTCCGTGGCCAGCGGCAGGTCACAGCCAGAGGCCGCAGCCGAGCACGTCTTGTCCATCTCCATGAGCTGCTTGGCCGATTCATTCAGCTGTGTGGGCAGGAAAAGAGAGAGATGAAGAAGTTGTAGAGAGTGATGAGGTTCCCTCCACTGCAGAAAAGGAGGCTCAGTGAGACCTTATCTCTGTCTACAATCACCTGAAAGGAGGTTGTTGTCACCACAACTGACAGGACAAGAGGAAATGGCCTCATGTTGTGCCAGGGGAAGCTTAGAATAGGATATTAGGAAAAAATTCTTCACTGAAAGAGTTGTCAAGCACTGGAACAAGCTGCCCAGGAAAGTGGTAGAATCATTATGCCTGGAGGTATTTCAAAGACTTAATAGACATAGCCCTTCAAGGCCATGGTTTAAGGGTGGGTTGGCAGTGCTGAATTAACAGTTAGACTGGATGGTCTTAGAGGTCTTTTCCAACCTAAATGATTCTATGATTCTATGAATTGATTTGATTTATGAGGCCAGAGGAATTATTTCCATCCACTTGTAATGTCAGGAAGATCAGAAGAGGCAAAGTGAGCATCTAGAAGAGTTAAGCTAGAACAAGACACCATAAATTGGTCCAGCTACAGCATTTAAAAACACAGAATTCCCCAAAACAGCTTTTCCCAGGGTGCTAAGTCAGAGCCTGGGGAAGGAGGCAGGAGCCTCTTCATCAATGTTTTGCTATTCTCAGTTCCATCACAGGCCTGTGCTTGATGTTTGCCACACATGGTTTTGATCCAAGGGTACAACTTCCAAATCTTCCCAGTTTCATTTCCCTGCCTCCCACCTAACACAGATTATCCAAATGCAGATACAAGATGAATGCATTTTCCTTAGCTGTACCACCCAAACTTCGGAAGAGCTTGATGGCGACTGCAAGATTTGCTTAGAGTCCACGTTGAAAACGTGGTCTCATCAGTTCTTTTGAAGAGTTTAACACTTGATCTACAGCCCATGAACTCCGCACTAGGAGGCTCAAGCCAGCTTTCAGCCTGCTGTTCCTCATCCAATCCACACTCACAGACAACCTCATGTCTATGAAGGCCAGAGGCATGCTGAGTGGTGCAACTCTGTCACTGAAGTCTCTTACCTCCCAGCCTCCATAACTCATCCAGGAAAGCCACACTGTACATGGCTGGAGAGATTTCAGGCACGCAGGGATGCTACCGTCACTAATGATACATGGAGTGCGCTCTGAAGTCAGCAGTGCTTTCTGCACAGCACTCATTGCCAATACATCTTCCCTCGAGGGATGTTAACAGCTGATGGAAAATGCCACATTTTGCCCATAGACCTTTATATTAAACTAGGATACACTGCAATATGTTTGCATTTAATGAACAAAAACAACATATGAGAATGGGAGCCACAATTAATGCACACGTGCTTTTGCATTCACTGCTATTCTGAGACCCACATAAACCAGAGCTGTATGTAATGCTGTTCTGGACCAAAATAAGGCCAGTTTTTATTCTATAACTACTTTTATGAATTATGGTAGCATCCAAGAAACAGTTGAGGACACAGTCTTCCAAAGGTCCAAATAGAAAAAAAAAAAAAGAATAATTTCTGCTCCAAGCCAAGCCAATTTTGAAACCCAACACAAGTGGAAATAAAAGGGAAAAAGAGAGAGAAGGGAAAGATAACAACAGAAACATGCAGTTAAACAAATGTGTAATTGCGTATCTTTTATACCTCCCAACCGCTGTCACCATGCTGTAAATAAAAGAATAGATGTTGCTAGCCTTAGGCTGGTCCTCCTGAATTTGAAAGCACTTCTGACTCCACAAGGACTCATTCAGTGTAACAGAATACTAACCTAGAAAGTAAACCTCGACTTGTAGGATCTTTCTTTCTGCGACAGCTTCCACTAAGTCAACCAAGAGCCTCCAATTAATGATGCTCCACTACTTTTCCGAGCTGCTGGGAGTCCTGCAACCATTCAATTAGCAAGTCATTTTCCCAGCTGCACTGTCCAACTTGAGACCACGCTTACAGCCAGCACAGTGCACTGCACCTGCCAATTTTCGCCGATAACAGCTGATCCTATTTCAGATTCTTCAGAAACATCCATTATTTCCCACTTCATCATGCTCTAAATTGGTACAACCTAATATTTGCCAGCAGGCTCCAAGTTGCAAGGAAACCAGATGGCTCCCTTCCCTTAAGTAGGTGTTACAGCTCTGCTTACCCCATTGATGTAGATAGTCTAGCTGAATTACTTGAAATATTAAGGAGAAAAGGATAAAGCTATCAAATATGTATGACTCTTCGACAGCAGAGGGTGAGGAAATTTTTGCTAATCAACAGCAAGAAGAAAAAGCATGCATTTTAGCTCTTTGAGATAGGAAAAATAGACTTAAAAAACCAATTTAGAACTTCTGATTTTACAGTGTGCTATAGGTGGACAATGAAGCACTCCAGCTCTTGATATCAAGCTCTTAATCTCTTGTAAGAATTAGATTATAAATCCCACTGTCTGGAATCCAATTTAACACTGAAGCTGTTCTTTTTAAAACAACAAAATCCCTTACTTTTTTGTTCAAAGTGGCACTTACTTGAAATGTCAATAAGAAAGCAAGCATCTAAACATGAAGTGATAAAAAATAACCCTGTATTGATATAAACAAAAGTCAATCTCTGTATCAGTAGAAGATTGAAGACAGAAAGAAAACTCTTCCCCAAACAGTCGAGCTAATGAACTTTTGAGAATGTCAGAGGCTTCCTGAAATACTGGGAAAAAACTATTTTGGTCTGCCAAGATAAAAAATGCTTTATAGCCTTACAACTTTATTTTTGTAGAGAACTGTTTTTAAACAGCTTTGCCCACAGATGCTGGAAAGTACTTCCCAAATAGGCTATGAATGCCAGAGAAAAGTCTGCTTACTACTTTGTAAAAGCAAACAGTTCTTCCTCTTCACAAAAAAACTTTTAGAAACCTTTTTTTTAAACATAAACATGATTGCAAATTTCTTATTTTAAACTCTGAATATGTAAACAAGCATTGCTTTCTGGTGTCTGTCATCTGATCTTCACGCAGATTTGCTTCCAGATGAGAAGCTTAATGGAAAGTTCTGACCCACAGTCAGTGTCAGGAATTTGACATTTCTGGAAGCCTGTAGCTCTTATGACAATCTCTAATACCAGAACTCAACTTTCTCACTCAGTTTTGATTCCTTCTCTAGAAAGATCTTACATTTGGGTTTGTGGTCCTGATAAGCCCAAAGTATCTTGAGACTTATGCCCTTGAGACTGCAGAGAGACTGATTTTACCCCAAATCCATTCTTTGCAAAGGGGATGTCCTAGAAATCTTGACATAGGATTTAGAGGGATAAGGCTTGGATTTGAATGCCAAACCAGTCAAACATTTCCAGCAGCCCTGCAATCCTGTCTAGAAAGGCAAAATCTTGCAACAGCAAGCCTTATATTATCTGAGGGACTTTATCATGCAAGGGATGTGATGAGACGGTGCAGCAAAACTGTTCACAGTGTCTCAGTGACTATTGGCTATGAGTCCTGCATGCTGAGATAAGGATGCACCAGTCTCAGTTCATGGAGCTACTGTGCCTGTTTCTCAGGAAGACCTTCCCCAGCTGTGAGTAATCATATTGGAGACAGCTACAGCTGATCTGGTTTTGTGAGTGAAGAAGGGTAGGCATGCAATACCTCTGTGCACAGAGCCTTGTTCACCTCCAAGCAACCTTTTCCTACAATGGGAGCAGTAATCAAGTGCTCTTCATTAAAAATTGGTGGCCTTTATCAGGAAGCCATAGTCTCCACCTTGCCACAATGCAAGCTGTCATGACATTAGTGTCCAAGCAGAAAGCCCATGTGATATGAACTAAGGGAGAGGCTTTTTCCTTCTTCTGGCTTTTAGTATGACTGTCTTAGATACTCCGCTTGTGACTTTACCACACAGGTGACAAATACTAAGATACATAATTCAGGACTTCTCCACTGCCAAAATTATTTTTTATTATTCTCCACATAAATCTCTTTTCTTTTCTGCAGAATGTGTTATGGTGAGTCTCTCAGTCTCTGTTGCATGTGCTTGCATGCACACATACACACACAGTTCTAATTTCTAATACATGTGGGTTTAAAAGGGACCACCTATAAATGCTTTCAACTTATTTCTCTTTTAAGGATGAGTGGATACAGGAGAGAAGCTGTCATCTACACTGACGGTCCCATGTGGGACCAAATATGTCCTTTATATCCCAATATGACTTAATGAACTACAGTTTAAATGGGCAACATTATGCACCTACTTACATACCCCAAATGGAATGAAGAGTAAGGAAAACCTACTTCTTGTCCAGTGTGGGTGACAATTAACTCTAGGTTTACTTCAAATAGCAAATTATTACTTTGGAATTTCTTGTTGTTATTATTATGGAACTAGAGAGAAACATGGGAAATTTAGGTCAGATTTAAATAATTAATCCTTACTGCGTCTCCCTTGACAAATATGCCAGTGCATTTACTAATCCATGTTAGTGGCAAAATTATCCTATCCCAGTTTAGACTTCCAAGGGACACTTTGATACACTGTGGTCACAACAGCAGCTCCTGGGTTGTGGCATTTCCCTGATAGTTCTGTCTTCTGTAAGAAGGAGGACTGTTCTGCTATTGAATACTCTTATTTTCTAGTAATTTAGGTCTGGGTAAGGGATTAATTTCTGACTGACATCTGTCCTACCAAAGACAGGACCTCACTGTGTGGCTTACAAATATACTTCAGCATGTACTTGATACTGTGCAGACCAAAGTGTTACTAATGTGTGACTAAAATGTCATTCTTCTCTAAATAAGAAAAGATTGCTTAAATTCTCAGTTTTACACATGTGATTCAGTATTTTGATAAATTGGAGCCAATTTGAACTGGAAAGTACACTTTATTAAGACTTTCACTTGCTACAAAATCTTTGTTTTTTCTGTCTTTATGGAAACTATTAGCTAAAGAATGATGTTGTTCAAATACAGATATAAGATTCAAATCAGTTTTAAAAGCAAAAAGTTACAAATCCCCTCAAATCTCTATGTATCC